CTCATTTTTTCCCGGTTTCTCTTCTTGATCCAAATAAGGTAGAAGACGATAATTTCATCATCATCTTTAGCGGGCTCATTAGCAAGTTCCCAGCGGCAGCATCTTACCCCCCCCCCAAAAAAAAACCTCCTCTTGCGGTGTAACAAATAGAATGACGTATAAATTAATAAAGCATCCCTTTCTTCTCTGTCTGTCTTTGCTCAGTCGCGGTACTTCAAACTTTGATGTTCTTGTTCTAAGAAAGAAGCTCGTATTAAATTACTGGAGAATTTTTGTTAGTTTTATTATGTGTATGTTATTACTATTTGACTATTATACTGTCTAGAAAGATTCTTTAGATATCTTAATAAAACAGTACATAGTAGATCGAAAACTCTGCGCAGTAAGACGCGTATTTTTGGGGTAGACTCATTTTTTAAGTTCCAAAAAGATTTAAAATTCAGAAAATCGGTAATACACACAGTATGAATTACTTCTTAAGTACAATTACATATACTAAAATTTAATGCATTTTATGCCGAGCAGTTTTAAAATTTTTTTGTCTAAAAAAGATGTTGTACTTTTAAATTTAATACTAAAATATCCAGCACTTTTACAGTTTTAAGAATTTTAGTGCAATTTTAAATCGAAATATGCAAGGTTTCCCCAACGACTAAGCATGTTTTATAATTAACAATTACGGCGCGATACTTTTATTTTATTATTTTTGGCAAACTACTTGACAAAAACTTCTTTCGGCAGAATGAACATCGGGTATAAATTAAAAATGCATACAAACCTAAATTTAAGGTAAAAAAAAGTCTGACAAAGAAAAAAAACTCCATCTCGTGAATTCTTACATCAGCACGCAAAAACCTGGCGCGTCGTTATTTTTGTGAGGGTTATTAAATTCGAACTTTTAGCATTTCCTTTCACATTTTAGTGAAACATTTTGCATTTCTAAAGCTATTTGTTGCTGTTTAAAGACCAACTCTCGGAACAAAAGTTAAAAAAATGACAATGATAAAATAACTCATTTACACCAGGAAAAGAAATGCTTTTCTGTTCATCCACATGAGGAAGTAAGGAAAACTTATTCAATGCTGAGGAAATTCGTGACTGAATACAGAAAACGCGCAGCAGTTTCTTTTACAGTGCTCAAATATACAAAATTATAAAAAAAAAAATAATAATAATAAATAAAAAAAAGCTGCTTTTAATGTGGAAACATAAATAAGTAAAGTTCAATGCAGCACGCAATATTATTTTCTCTTCCTGAGGTAAACCGTATGAGTATATATATATATATATTGCAATCTTTATTCTTTGCATTATTTATCGTCCGCCATATGGATTAAAAGGTTTATCTTCGTGAAACTTTCAGAACCTAAACAGTGCGGTAAAGCCATTTTCGACTGCCCTCACGAGCTTTGTCGTAGCTAAATAAACCAACCAAACCATTTTCGACTCCCAGAACATTTGGTTCAATTATAGAAATAGGACTTCCAGTCATTATTTAAACATAAAAAAATAAATTCTAAATGTAATAATTTTCTTAAACTGATGTTATATGAACTTTCCTTATGTGTAAAAAGAAAATATCTGATGTGGCCATCCCATGACTTCCTCATACGGCCTATTCAATTATACGCATTTTTTGTTATTATATTCAAACTATGCACATTTCATTTAAACTTATTTCCCCCCCCCCCGAATTATTGTAACTTAACTTGTTTGTTATAACCGAGCCCAATGATTGTGAAAATAAAGCCGGGTAAGGACTTTTAAGCCGGATAAGAGGAGTGAAATCCCTTTTATAATCAATTCAGGAAAAAAAAGTATCCTTTATTCTGGCCGTAAGTACAGACGTCATGCAAAAAAAGACCGTCAAATAGATTTGGGAACAGTCAAAATGGATATTTCCGTTGAAATACGATAGCCGAAAATTTTGGCGATTACAATACTTCCTTTACTTCCATTTATATTATTCCTCAGTTGAGTAAAATTAACAGCAGCTCGATACAAATAAAACTTTACGTATCAAAATACTTCGGCCCTTTTATCCACGTTGACTAGAATTCTTTGCTGTCCGTAAAACTATACTGTGAATCCCTAAGCATGACTAAAAATATTGATAAGTAGTTTCCTTTCCATCATTAATTAAAAAGGGCAAAATGCACGAATTATTACTTCCTTTTTCAAACCATAGATAATAATTCTATCCGAAGTTTGAACTTCGGAATGTTATACGGTGTTAAAAAAGATATTCTGTTAAGTGACATGAAGGTCAAAATATTCTGTCTATAGTGAAAACAAAATCCCAGGCCGGCGCTGTTTCCACAAAATTCTAAAAATTTTGCTGCCCGGTGCAGACGCGCCGGTTGCATTGGCTCTGGCTCCAATCCTCACAAAGTCCGCTTAAAATAAAAAAAATCTGAAGGCCTTTCGATTTTAAATTACGTAACGTTTTGTGTGTTATCTTTATTAAATATCATGTTCTTCGCATTTAAGCCACATAAAATGCAGTTTAACAGCAATATCACAAAATATTTAAAAACAGCATATATTTAGAATTTCCAACACACAGTCTCGCGCCTGGAAACAAAAATTGTTTTTTTTTTTCGAAATGTGCTCACTTTGAAATCGTTGAGTTTGTTAATCAAAAATTCTTTAAAATTTTACAAAATTTGAAATAGGTAATAAAACAAATTCGAAATTCGGGTTTCCAAGTGCCCATAATTCGATTGGTGGATTACGTTATTAAAAATTTGATGGCTCTAGGTACTGTTGTTTTTTCACAGTGTGAGAAACATTCATGAATTCACGCAGATTCTTCATTATTTAGTTTCTTTAAATATAATACATGGAGATAATATTTTGTGGCAACAGTTTGAAAAGTGAACTATTGCAGAGAGTGAAACGACGCAAAATGCAGTTTTGAAACAATAGCCCTTTGGGTCTAAGGCCCCTTTTGGGCTAAAACGATATACTGTTTTTGCTATGCAGAAGCCTTAAAAATATGCATGTGCTCTGAAAATAAATTATTTTCCAAATGCACAATACTTTTACTGATAGTTGCTGTTTTGGGCTACAAACAAATTTTAATACGGGGGCTTCAGCTTCAAAGTTACATTTACTTATATTATTGTAAATTTATTCTACCCCTTCTCTCACACACAACAAGTTTTATAAAAAATTAGTCATTTTTTTAAAAATGTTTACGGAAAACCTCGATTTCAATAGCCATCTTTTTACATGGTTTTATTTAACTTCGGTTTCTTTGTGTCAAATCTTAAATTAAGCTTTGTTTCTGTTCCACGATGCCGATTTCCTTAAAATTTTTTACATGTATATATTACCGATGACAAATACAGTATTCTGAGACGATTCCTTCCCCCTCAAAAATTCGATCTTTGAAAAAATTAGCCTTAAATTCACATTTTCTTTTTGACGATCAAACTACATATCACAGTACTTCGATCTAGCATCCACAGATATACTATAGACAGGGCCGTAGCTAGGGAACAACTGAAGAATTTGCGCCCCTTTCTGTATGCCAAGAACGGAAAACATTTCATTAAAAAATTTTGTAGCATCAATTTGGCGCCCCTTGGATGCTGCGCCCTGGGACATGTCCCCCCTTGCCCCACCCTAGCTACGCCACTACATATTGAAATATATTTTGCAAATGAAGGTTGTTTAATATTTCTAACGTAATTTAACGAATTTCGGCACCTGTTCAAAACTCTTTTGATCACTTTAGATATCATGCGATTGTTTACAATCCTGAATTTTTATATTCAAATACTCAATCCTTCATTATCAGCAGTCTCCGATTTTAAGTAAGGATGAAATCGAATTTTTAAAGCAAAGAGAAATTTAAATAAACCAAATGGGAACCTATGCAATCGGATAGATGGGAAAACATAACGCTATGCATATTATTACGCCGACTAAAAGAAATAATCTTTCTATTTCAGCAGCAGAGATTTTCTCTATAATTTTTTTACAGGCTAAAACGGAAAAAACACAGTGAATTCTATCCTGGCAGCCACTTTTGAAAGTCAGTAAATTAATATTTCTTAAAACGTAAGCAAATATCAGCTCTTAGCATAGCCTTTCCGAGATCGCTTATTTTCACAGAAGACCAAAATTCAGATCCTTGAAAGACGATTTGGCACTTGATTGCGTTATTTGGATTACGGCAGAACACGCGAGGGCAATCTTTGTAAAGGAAAGGATGCTTTCGTGGAAGCCAATTTAAAGAAAACTGTCTCGTAATCCACGCAGAACTACCCAGAGTTCAGCGATTTTGCCACAGCGGCTAATGTACGCATATCGTCTTAAGATTTACCCATGCCTAAGAAGTCCATTCACGGTTCTAGCTACGAGTCCCCTCCCCCCCCCAAAAAAAACTCGGTTTTAATACATACCTTATTTTTTTTTAAATAATAAAATGCTCATAAAAGAACTATTCTGGGAATATTAGCAAACTTGTAAGGAACAAATGGAAGGGTATATAAGTGACATACATCAGAATAATTACATTGAACTCAAATTTCTGTTCCTACACAGGCGCCCTTGAAGCTGAATCACCTTTTAACACGAACACCTTTTGACAATACTGATTTAAAATGGACCATCATTAGCGGTCCCGCGATTTTATTTTTCGTCATAAACGACCAATGTTAAAGCAAATTTCTACTTTTCTGCTTTTCAACGCGTTTTTTATTCAAGAGCCGAAGATATTTCTTTCGAGCTCAGAAAGACGATTTTTTATTTTTGAAAAAATCAAATTAACATTATTAATCCAAAGTTGACTTTTACTTAATTTTTATATTTGGGCTATCACCCAAATCGGTAAAACATGGCCAAAAAAATCACAAAAAGCACAGAAAAGGTTGAGAAATCCTAGGAACAATTTCTAGGCATATGCAATTTGTTCTTTTTCATATCTCTTATGCAGGAAATGAAATAAGTTTACTACAACAACGAGCATTTAAATACAAATCAAAACTTACCAATCCAGTCCACTTCCAAAGGTGCGTTCCAACAAACCATACCAGTAGTCTTCATCTCACTGCATGTCTTGGGCCAGTTCAAGGTGACTCAGTTTTGGGCAATATTATTTTTGTACTTCCTTTTATGCACTATCTTAATCTACATTTTACACACATGCGGACAGGACAATGAACGGGGCCGAGGGCATTGTCAATTACTGCAGCAACCTTGGGTGGCACACACACATTCAGTCGTACGCACGATGAATTAAGATAGTTCTACATCGGTGCTTCTCAAACTTGTTATTAAACTTTCGTGATAACAAAACCAGAAACTCCCATGCAAATAAGTAATTCGTATTCACAGCCAAAAAAGCTGACGCTGATTTGAAAAATTTTACAGAAAATTTAACATTTAAATCAGATACTTAATTTTATACAACACTTATGATTTTAAGTGGATAAAATGAAAATGTCTTGTTTGAATTAAACTTTCGTTTCTCGGCCATGTAATCCAAGAATGATTCATTCAAAATAATCACCAGCTTTCAGTCACAATTCTTCTAAAAGTTTTGTTCACAACACTATTGATGTTAAAGTTACGCTCATTAGTAAACTTTCATAATAATTAACCAGGAACTCTTAAGCAAAAGTGATCGCTAATATTTTTGTGCTTAAACAGTAACGCTCTACATGCAAAAAATTCTACTATTAATTTAACATTTCAAAGAGTTTTCTTAACTTCTCATAATTTTTACAGTTAAAAATACTGTTTTCCTTTTTAAATAGACTACCATTTTTCTAGACAAAATAATCCAAGAATTCAAAACATTCAACTTTCAGACACAATTTTTAAATAACTAACCTATCTAGACTAAGAAATCTAGAGTTTGTTAGCAAAATCCTGTGCTAGATATTCTTATGGAAAGTACTTTCGTTAATATTACGTGTAAAAAATAAGTTACTTATATAACTCTTAGATTAGACGTTTAATTTCACAATACGATTTTAAGACATATATTTTCAACTATATGGTACGTTCATTCTCCAACAAAGTAGTCTAAAAATGATTTCTTTCAAAATATTTTCTAATTTTAAACCACGATCTTAAAAGTTTACAACAGTTTCGACGAATCACAGTAACACATAAAAATCAAACGTCACACTTTTAAAATAGGAACTTCAGTTTGAAAACATATATACCAAGCGTTACTCCCGACGTTGATGCTTTTTTTAGAGTATTTCACACAACAACAAAATTTCACGTAATAAATATATCACCCCTAAAGTGCAAAAAGTAACACAGTTGAGTGTAGCAACGAACCACCCACAGGAAGTTCAGCATGCGAAATAATAAATAATATTCCACAGTAGACTAAACTATCACTTCTTTTTTGTTGTTATGATGTTCAAATTGAACATAAAACCAAGCTGAGAAATTTCACACTATTAAAATTATGCTTTTATAATACACAAAATACAAGCATACCACGTCAAACAAGAACTATACGTTGTTGCAAAAAGAAAAGCATATAATTTTATAAAATAAAACAAAACACGATGGTAAGTGGATGGAAAGGGACACACCGTTCTTGCCGCTAGAAACTACAGCCTTTTCTGATTCTCTCAAACTCAGCGCTACTGACGCTTTCAAGAGCATTGGGTTTGTCGTAGGAACAACAACAACAAAAAAAGGTGTAGAGTTCTGAACGCCAACTGAGCTTTGGCGAGACTTTGTTATCAGTCTGCACGCCAACTTCTGATTTCGCGTACAACTTTTATGAATGAACCGAGGGAAAAATTGAATGATATGAGCAATATACGTTTTCTCATAAAACAGAATATTTTTGAGAAATTCGATTTTTGCAGTTACAAAATAATACTTTTATAATGAATTACAATTAAATCACTGAATATAGATGCGGGCCAGAAAATTTGTCCCCGCCCCGGAAAAGATAAATGAAACTGAATAACTGAATAAATTATAAAATAATTAAACAAATAAAAAACTGAGAACTAAGGAGGAGGAAATTTTTAGAGCGATCTCTGCGATCATATCATAGATTACATTTTTTTCTCTTTATCTAAAAGACAAGCTAAATTAATGACACACCATTAGTTAAACATCCACATAAACATGGTTTTGCAGAGTACAAAGCAAAGCGCAATATGACAGTACTCGAGAGTTCTTAATCAAAATAAGTAGGGGCAGAAAAAACTATCATTCGGACAAAACATAAAAAGAAAACTTTCCAATTGAATTTCCAGGCGATCACATTATTAAAGAAGCTGATATTATCCATAAATTGCATTCTACAGATGCTACATTTAGCAATAACTACGCTTAACAACAGCTAATTAAGAAGCTAACTGAACGATGTTATACAAGTTGCAGGGGCAACATTTCACTGTTTAGCCAAGATACAAATTTTGTATCTAGTAACGAAGGTAATGTTTTGGAGTAGTTAGAAACAGTAACACTTGCATTTAGATGTTAATAACTACAGACAAAATTAAACATTGAATATTAAGACTGAAAAAAATTAACAAAGAGGTCACTTAAACTCCTTAATAAAACTTATCGATAGAGCTTTTATATTACATATTTTACTTTTTCATGAATAAAACGGCTATCTTCAAACTATTATTAATACTCATTAGTCAAAGTGATAATAACACTCAAACTGACGAACTCTTCCCTAGGTAACCAAACGGATTACAACCCTGTACACTGATAGTTTCAGTACGGTGAGCTCCACTACTAGGCGAATGGCTAAGACGGCTGAATATCGGTAGTTTGACCAGGGTTCGAACCCAAGTAAACGAATCGGTTGCGTGAATGATTTTTGATGCTCCAAAAGCCAGTTTCCCTTAGAATATAATCCCCGGAAGTATTCCTTTTTTTACATAGATAGCCCTCGTATGCTTTCCCACATCCCAAAGCAGTCTGACTGACTGCATATGGTTTTTATGCTTCCTCTTCTTGTCTAACATGATTACCAGCTGACTTAAATTGCTAACTTAAATTTTATTTTAAAAATTTCTCTCGATTTTTTACTTAAATTAAGGGAAAAAAATTGCAATGAAGAATACATTTTTAATTCTTAAATAATTTTTATTTCAGAAAATAAATTAAAAATGGAAGAATGTTTAAACTGAAGTAACTCGCTAAGGTATTGAACACTTACCTTTTCATTGTCTTCATCAATAACTTAATAAACATTGTTCTGGATTTAATTCTAAGTACACTTTTAATTTTTATTTAAGTGACAGCGCTTTTTTAGCATTTTCCTGTTACATATCTTGAATTAACTTAAGCAACTTCAATAATTTATTAATTTACCCAGAATAATGTTTTTTTATAAACGCAATAACATTAAAATTTTCAAAGCAATAAATTATATCAATGAAATATTAGAACAAGTTAAAACTGCAATTAATATTTCCAGTTTAACAATCCTTTAAATACTCTGGAACACATTTTAACAATACTTTGGTTACAATATCAATGTGAATACGACGTTAGTTAATAATGCATGAATAATACGTTAAATAATGCGTGAATAACATAAATATTCAACGTAATTAAGTATTAATGTATACACATAATTTTGAAGAAAATTCTCTTTCAAACGAAATGTACACCTCTTCTGCAATTCTTTCTCCCCCTTTTTTTCTCCTTCCCCCTTCTTTAAAATTTTGGTAATTAAGGTTTCTAAGCGTTAACTAATCATTTTATAATTAAAATTAATTAATTAATATAAACATGCATCCATATTCAAATTTACACAAAATTCACGTGGAATTTAAATTTCAAATTTCTTCATAATATTAAGATAAGTTTATCGATACAGTAAATTTAAATTAGTACTTTTAATTCAAAATTTACTCGGCGAGATATCAAATATTACGTTCCTAAAAGCTTAAAACTATTTATTACATTTATAAATTTAGCAAAGATTTTAAATTAAATAGTTTAGATTTAAACACGTCGATTGAAAATTTTTACTAATCAAATCATAATTAAGAAAAAAAATGTTTTATGTTTAATCGCCACAGTAAATTCAAACAAAGGGGGAATAAAATACACTGACACACGGAGGAAATTAATTCATTGATAAATTACCACAAAATAAACATTCTAAACTTTTTATGCTCGCCTACGAGCTATAATGCGCCAAATATGGGGTAAGCTCTCTATCAAACAATCACATAAGGATAGAAAGGACGGAAGTTAACTCCGAAACGAAGCGAGGGAGAAAAAAGTGGTTCTCCTGGAAAAGCAGGGAAGAGACAGCCTGACGAAATCCCTCTGAGCAGATTGGGTAACTGTAAACAAAGTGAATAAGGTCAAAGTTACAGAAGATTTTCACCCCATCAGGGTTTAAATTTCAAGTTTCATTAATTAATGGAGATGTTACAAGAAGTGGGCGATAAATAGCAGCTAAAGAGCAGAGGTCGGTGATTTATTTAGAGGAAACTGGTACTTTTGGACCTCCCGTTTTCACACGCCACTTCTACATTGATGATTCATAGCATCTACTCTGACCTAGTATATATAACACATCTCAAAAAGCCCCTTTTCTTTAGGTCTCTCCTTATTGTACCTAGGAAAGAAGGGAGAATACCGCAATAATGAATAAGAAGCAGGAGAATAACAGTTCAAAGGAAATGCTTCTAAAAACAATTTTATGAAATTTATATAACTGATGGTATTAAATAACTGATTCTGACAAAGTTGTGCAGACTTTCTTACAGAAACTGTTTCTATTCCATATGACATAAGCAGAGACGTAAAATAAAATTAAAAAAAAAAAAAAAAAAAACTTCTGCAATTTCGAGACGGTTACAATTGCCAGTCTAGTAAGGTACATGAGGACTTTGAAAGTCTCTTATTCATTATACTTTTTCACTTTGCTACCCTCCTCCCTACTAAGTTTACTGTTTGAAAATGCATAATTTTCTGTTTCTTTTCCTTTTGCGTTACCTGTTAAATATAAATGCATATTCAAAATTATATTATATATATGTGCATGCTGTACTTTTCAACTGGGATTTACTTTCACTAGAACGCGGATTTGTTTCTGCTCTTCCTTTGTGTTATAATGATGCAGCGTTACACATCAGTTTTCTACTACTTCTGGTTGCCTTTCACCATCCATTACGTTTTGGTTTCGCAGCAATAAATACGTAAAATTCTTAATTTTATCTTACAGGAGAGGAGTTTTCTAATTCTTCTTAAGCTAATATTGAGAAAATTTCAGCGGTGGGGAAAAGAGCTTGCTGTCCACTTTTAAATAAAAATCAATAAAAATCCCACAAAAAGATGCAAATCAAAAGCAATGTTCAGCAATGCTGTTTCCTATAAGCAAAAGAATAAATACTATGTTGCCAAAGTTAGAAAACTTTTAGAAGTTCCGCTAAGTAAAAAAAGAACAGCTTACGGAGTGTTCCAAAATAGAACAGAGACAAAAGTTTATAGATATAATTATCCGTGTGTCTCATTTAGTATTATTTGTACCACCGGCTCATTTAGTACCACCGGCCGAGCGGTAAAGTCGCTGAACACTGGTAGTTCGGTTCGAGATTCGAATGCCGCAAACGGGCTGGCTGCATGGGCGTTTTCGTGGTTTTCCCCATGTGTAACATGTATACGAAGCAGTTTTCCTTAGAAAGTCCTCCACGAAGGCATCCCTCCCCTTAGGCAGATAGCCCTTGAGGCTTTGTCATATTCACACACACTCATTAAGTATTTAACTAGCATAATTATTCTAAGCAGTATGGTAATAAAACTACTTCCTCATATCCGGCACCTTAGTTTATCTAAATACTCCACTATAAGACTCTACCCAGCTTTTAGGATTTAATAAAAAAAAAAAAAAAAAAAAATCTGAAATGTTTCAGATTTTAAATTATGTCCAAAGGGGCGTTTTTTAACATTTTGCGTGTTACCTTTCTTTAAAATATCATATTCTTCGGCACTTAACCATAAGATCCGTTCAACAGAATATCTCAAAATAGTTTTAAAATGAGCATATCTTTAGAATTTCCCATACAGAGACTCACGCGCTGCAGATAAGAAATGTTTTTTTCTGCACAACCGTTGCCATTGCTCGCTTTTTGAAACCCTTGAGTTTGTTAATCAAAAATTCGTTAAAAGTTTTACAAATAGGAAGCGAATAAAACAAATTCCAAATTTCAAATTTGTCTTCCCACTGCCAATATTCGTTGGAGGAACGTCTTCAAAATTCGATGGCCTATGAGCGTTATTTATCACAATGCGAAGAAATATACATATATTTATGCAGATTTTTCATTATTTTAATTTTTTCAAATATAATGCAAGACTCTAACATTTTGTGGCAACAGTCTGAAAAGTGAACCGACATTTATAGGAATCCGACGCAAAATGCCAAAACGAAACTAATAGTCCTTCGGGACTCAAATCCCTTTGGACTAAAAAAGAGAATTTTGCGCTCCAGTAAATTCCCTCTAGGTAATGCAACCGAAAGTCTGCTTTTTTTATGTGTAACGTAAATACTAGGATTAAATCTTCATAAAATGCCTTATATACTCCTGCAAATCTCCAATATATCAAAA